GCAAATGAGAAAAACACAACTGAGGTGTTCTTTTGTGATAAAGGGTTCAAATCTACGCGCCTATTTTATGCAGCCTCTAAAAAATATAATTATTATAAGATAAAAGACTATTATAATTAAGTATTTTTTAATATCTCAATATATTTTTCTTTGTTAATCGCAATAAAAATGCCTCATTGATTAAATAACTTTTGTATGGTTAAAACCCTTTTATGAGTTATAAAATTTAATTTAGTACTAGCACTTATTTTTTACAAATTATACATGTTGTAAACGACTTATGTACTAAAACAAAAATGTTTGTTAGCTGCTTTTAGTAATATGTTTTTGATTTGACTGATATGAGTTTTTCACAGTTGTAGAACCTATTGGCCAAATTTGTATACTTGGAAAAATAATGTACTTAATTAAACATCTCATGCGAGAACGAAAAATAATTCCATTTTACAGTGTTTTCATATTTTGGCAGCTTTTTAGGTTTTGGAAAGGTAGTTTTTGACGCAAGAAGGGTCCATCTAACAAATTTAAATTTTGAAAATATCTGGAAAATATTTAAATGTGTCATTGGACGAGCAAAATGGTACCCAGACGTAAGTACTGGACTTGTGGCCCTTATTGCATAAAACAATGAATGTTTTATATTGTCTTTAGTATATTGTACAAACAAAATATAATAAAAACGTTTAGAATAAAAGTTAAAGTACATTATTTAGGTTATGCTTCCAAGTAAAACTTTTTTCAGTATTATAATTTGGATTTATCATTACTATTAATTCCCCCTTTCTGCCAAAAGGAACCCAACCTCCAATGAATTTTTGGAATTTCTTAAAGCAGAGTAAGAATTCTAGGAACAAGAGATGTTGGTATTGGAGACAAAAAATATATACAAAAAAAGTGGTTGCTATCGAATTTAGAATTAAAATATTGAAATTAATTCTGTGGGCTAGTTAACAAAAGTGTAAATATTTAACACAACTTTAAATTAACTAAGTATAAACGTCAGTAAACTTTGGTAATTTAAGGTACTTTTGAAAAAAACAATTTTTGGTTTCTGCGAAAGAGAGAAAAATAATTTGCTCCAATCAGACCAGAGCAGACCGTATTATAATTGAATTTTAATATAAACAGCTTCTGTGAACTAACTTTACTATAATCGTGTAAATTCGTATGACCTTTGCTTGTTTTAGTTTAGTCAAACGAATGTGTTACCTAACACGTTTTGTAATATATAGTATGTTTAATCAATTTTAAACAGTTAATATACATACACGGTTTAATTAATATGTTTAATCACTTTCTTTGTTTAGCTTCAGTTATTTTTACTTATCACTTGCAAATAATTTAACTGTTATTTAAGATCGGTGAACATTAAAAAAAAAAAAAAGTACTATAACAACCCTTTATTTTTTTTATATTAAAGCTGTACCGTAATACAACCATTCAATTGTGTTGCATATTGTATGGAACATAATATAATATATGGGGAGAGAGAAAGAGAGGGGGAGAAAAGTATTGAACCCCAACAGTTGTAATAGTATATATATTTCTGCATAACTTTTATTCGGGTCATGATCGCAGCACAACCCGAGTACCTTTCATTGGCACGGGCATTGTAATGATTATTTAAAAACTCTAAATTATATATAAAAAAAACCGGCATAAAATTATGGACGATGGATACTATGAAGTTTAAAGGGTAAAACTTTGCCAATTTACATACTATCCACTGTACGTGGATGCAAAAAAGGCTGCGTAAAAAACACCGGAAAATATATACATTGTATCACGCCTTTGTAATTCATAATATTTACATACTCCCGTCAGGCAATGCAAAAAACCAAAATCGATTATTTTCTCTCAGCATCTACACTTACACGTGCGCACAATATGTTGTTTGTGTAACAAAACATATATTTTAATTGACTAGTATAATTACAATATAGTAATACTATTGTTATAGTATTCAAATCTGTATTGTAATACAGATTACAGACAGTATTCAGAATTTAATAGCCGAGTATATATTATATTTTTATTAAATAATCGTTTTAACTGAAAAAAGTTTCATACATCTTATAAATTCAGCTAATAACTATATTTATTTGATCATATAATGATAATAATTTATATTGCTTAAATTCGAAATTTGTATTATATCGGTAATTTTTTAAAGTCGAATCCATATTATTGTGTAAGCCACCAACACAATAGTGTTGAGTGAACAGTTAGCGTTTTAATATTATTTAACTAGTGCAATGTAATTTTTGTACTCGCATACCACATAAAAATTAAAAAAATATTCAAACAAAATAATTGTCGACTATTTTTTATTTTCATTATATTACTATCGTTGTTTAAAAATGTAAATTGTATTTGTATCCCATGTAGAAAAAACTAAACTTCATTATAAAACAAAAATACCTTCTCGGCTATCGCATCGTAGCCAAAATTAAATATTTTTAAAAAGTTGTCAAACGTGGTTTGTTATATTTTGTTAATTTATGCTTTCCCCCGAAATTTAACGTTTCAGAAGTATTTACAAAATTTATACAAATAAAATAAACGTAAAATGTTAAAAAAAATGTTTGTATATTTTTATGTATAATAGAGATTGAAAAGATAAAATATAATATAATAGACGGTATGCTGAAATGTTCACAGCAATGTGGAATTTACATTCCTTTCATTTAAAAACGAAGGACAATCTTTATTTAGGTTCAAAGTCCACTAGAATGTTAATTAGATTTTTTAACGGTCAAACACCTTTCGGTTTAACCGTTGTAGTGAAACGTGTTTGATCATATAATATTTACTAATATCTTGTTTGCCGCAACAAAATTATTTTTTAAAAGGTGTTACAACATTTTAGTGGTAAAAAAGATTAATGAATTTTACGTTTTGCGACCGAAATTCAGAATTTTTCAAAGTGTATATTTTGTTTACATGCTAAACATTTAACAATAACAATAATTATTTTGCAAAAAATACAGTTTCTAATTTAATTTCAATCAATGTATATCCTTATATTAAATAAATCTATTTCCTGTATTATAAAAATGTCCATCTGGTAATGATTATTTTTATTTAAAATTTACTACAAATAAAAATAGCTAGTTAAATGCTAGTTGAATAGCTTGTTTACAAATTGAAAACATTTTAGACCTTGAAAAAATTTAACACTACAACATAATATAACGGTAACGTTGTGTTTTTTTCGCTTAATAATTTACAGTAATTCATTTGATTTAATGGAGCAAAAATAGACCATAATTCGACTTGATCCAAACTAAATCTACATTTTTATATTACGTCGATCGAATAAATTCAGAAAGCGCTTTGAACATTTTAAATAAACAATTCGATTATAATAATAGAAAAATAAAAATTGATGTTAACATATATTTTTTCTTCAAAGCGTTACATAAAAGTACAAGCTTTATATTATTGTATTGCAGATATAAATGTTATATGCAACGCTTTAGCGTACTAACTATATAATTTGTTCTGTATAACTGTGTCGTCCCTGTATGTATGGATTTTGTAAATATTTTTATATCCCTTTTCACTAACATAACCGTTCGTTCAAAGGCTTTAATACGTTGTATTGAACAGTTTTATGGCTTCTCTATGGTTCCATTAACAGTTTTTTGAGCATTGAATTTTTGCCCCGCTTATAGGTGACCAAAAACTATTTATTACATATTTCATGACGCGTCCGTTTTGAGACTAGTGCTCGAATTTTCTTAAAGTAAAGAGCAGTGTACAAGTCGTTGACACGAGGTAAGCCGAGATCGATTTTGCACAAAGCGTACTTCCGGGAACCCCGTGAAGAGAACTTCACTTCCGTCGTAGGAATTTTCCGAGAATGAAAGACATGTGTTTGTAGTGTTCAAAAAAAGATAAGTTTATAACTTCGTCGTTCTTTGTCAATGCCGAAAAATTCAAGTAAATAATAACAACAATAAACAAAAAAACATTAACGTACCTACTTGGTATAAAACGCGTACTCTCGCTCATACTTGACATTTCAATGGGGGAAAAAAACCATACAGTTTGATTCATTAAGAACATGACACTCTCCATATCTCTTAAAATAATTGCAATTTTTTAGTGTTTTCTTTTTAGAAACTTTTCTGTTATTTTACAATATCATATAACGACTTAATATACATGTTTACCTTTTTTTAGTATTTTCCAGAGCTCTATACAATTTTGAAACTTAAAAACGATAACGAATTTGTTTGATTAACTTTTTAAATTCAGAATAATTTGCTGAAAATGTAATTAGTAAAAGGTAATTACTTTACAATTTACTAAAGTTTAAGTATTTTAAAAGGAGATAAGAGCTTTGGAAGAAAACACAAAAGACACGACATTAAACATTGTAAAAAAAAACATAAACTAAGGTGTCTCCAAAAAGGAAAACTACAAATTTGCATATCTTTTAAGAGTAAACGAGATGCTTGTCCACAATAAATTATCCTGAAATTTTAGGAATTATCCTAAAAATAAAGCTAATACAGTGGGGTCGGGGCGTAGTGGGAACGGGGAGGTGACAGATCTACAGGAATTATTATAACTGAAAAGTGATAAAATCACTTTTATATAAACGCTTCTATGCTAATCTGTGGCAAGTTATAGAGCGTCGTAATTTTAAATTGAGAAATATGTACATTTTTTGCGGTGTTTTTCTCGATTTTGATGTGGAAGGGATAATTTTCCGCAATTAAGTACTTTACTGGTACGATTTCTGGTCTATAGAATTGCTACACGAAGAAATCAGAGGCCTAGAAGATATCGTGGGTACAGACACCAAAATATAAACAAAAAAATTAAAACACATTATCATAAATACAATACCTTATCAGCTCCACATCGAAACTAAAATGTTTATAATACACATGCATAACCACGCGTATACTATGATTATTAGTGCTGCGCCCGTTCTCTATTAAACTGTTTATTTTTACATATTACAATATATTATATTTGTTTTACAGAATCGCAGCTGGGCTGGATGCGGAGTAGCCACGTCGGGGGCCGATCGATATCCATCGCTAAGTGAGTGAACTCCGAATTGTCGAATTATTTTTAAACTCTCTCTCTCTCTCTCTCGACGGTGAATTTCTTGAACGTGGCGGACCGTAAGATTATGACTAAAGATCTCTTCGAAGATCCCCCCCCCCTGCCGATCAAGGGGAGGCGCAGAAGGGTGTAGATTGATGACAACTGTGTAAGTACGGTCGGTCACGGATCCGTCGTCGTCGGAATTGAAAACGAAACAGAAAAATCTAACCGAATCGAAAATGAGCGAACGGGCATCGACACGACGGTGGCAGCAATAAGGGGGACGACAGTCATTTCCCAGGGGATGAGCGTTATCACTTTCACGGTCGATAGAATCCTCCCCCGCCCCCACCACGCCACCACCCCAACATCCGGTGTCCGGTTTATTATATATAGTGTACACGATGCAAATAAAACGGAAAACCGCCTGGTCGTCCGGAGGCAGCGACGGGATATTTATTAGGTGTGCGTATGTGTGTACTGTATAAATTACTGACGTTCGGTATGTACGTATATAGAACCGTACGGTAATAGGAAATAACGTGTGCGGGTTGTACCACCATCTCGCATTGTCTCTTAGGTATATGGCACACGGGAAAAGCGTATTGAAAGCACAGACAACCCGTCCGTCTATAATTCTCAGCGTCGTTGCATTATAATAGTTATCACCATATTACACAACAAGTTACAAATATAAAACCAGATAGTGCACTTTAAAATTTAAAAAAACCGAAAAATCTAAACAAACTTTAATAATCTCACTTCAGCGTGACCAAAAAAATAAATGAGCTAAAAATAATCCTTCTGTTATCTTAATGCTATCCTTTTGTGTGGCCAAAGAAATTCTACCAAACATTTGTAATATTATCACAATCGAACATTTATTTAATCTGTGATTATATGCGCGGACTGGTCAATTCGCAGCTGCTATAATTGGACGGTTATCACTATTATATAAAATGTATTTTAATATTTTTTATTTTACATTATTCAACGACCGCCGGCATAATAATTTAACATATTTTATTCTTGCTTCTGCGTCCATGAGATATTAATTTCCAAAATAACCGACGGGTACCTGTTCGTTTCTCGACTGGCAGACGGTGGTTTTAACTCGGAAAATACCAAGGCACAACCTTGGCGGTATTTTACACCAACATTTTAATTAACACTTTATCTTTTAATACCTACTCGCTAAGTTGACAGTATTTAATTATGTTTGTATGATTTAATTTAAAAATTTCAACAAGGCTGTCGCTGTAAATGTGTTGCGTTTGTAAAAAGCAAGTACCTACTTTCAATATTATACTAAATTATAATGGCTTTATGGATTGGCTTAGAGCATAATTTTACTAATTATACAAATAATTAAAAAGGTTAATTTTATCCACGTGGCTACAGTCAAACGTTTTCGAGAAATCTTAGATTTGAAATAAACATGATAATAAATTCAATTTTGACATCTTTTTTTGTTTTAGAATCCATAGTTTTTTTTTTTTTAATTCAAAATATATCATAATACTTCTTTTTGACAATACTCACTCCAAAACTATACTTAGTGTTATATTATATTCAGTAATTATCTGTCAATACATATTATTAAAAAATCAATTTTTACATAATTCAGATACTATATTTTTTCCTGATTATAATTATTTATCATTTTATCTGTTTATTAATTTGTATTTATATAGGTAGATATGATTATTATAATATTATGTAATTGTACGGATAGTAAACATTTTTTCGCTACTTTTTAAAACAGAATTAACCTAAACTAATTTGTATTGACCCAGTTTTACTGTAAAATTATTATGTTTGACAAACGAACAGAAAGAAAACAGAAATAGTAACTCAACTGATACTGACTTAAGAAAATATTTAAATGAACATAATAAAACCATTGTTCTTCTTCGCGAGGGTAGTAATTTCTGTAGACATTTATGAGCCATTTTCGTTCTGACAATTGGGGTGCAAAATACTTTTATGTTTTCAGCAATAACGAGCGACTCGATTGAAGACAACATTAAAACCAGACGGTGCGATGAGATGACTATGATAAAGTATACATTGTTTTGAAATGTTTACACGGGCACCGCTATAGTGTTAGATAATTATATCTATCGTGAGTCAAAAGCTAATTTAGTTGGTTTTACTTAGGAAATAAAATATTGCTATATTTACAATGCAAACAAAAATCTTACAATTATTCAGCTTATTAATATATTTTTTTAATTTATACGCTTCGCCGTGCGATAATAATAATAATATTATATTTTTAACAAACTCCGTTCGCGTTCCAAGAAATTATTAAAGTTTTTTTAATAACAACAAAAACCGTATTTTCTTATTTATTTTTTGAATATACATTAAAAACAGTTTGTTTTTATTTTAAACGAATTAAAACGAACACAGTACAATAAAGTCGGATTGGGATTTGAAAACAAGCGAGGCGACTTTTGAATACAAATGTATTTTGAACAAATCCAATTATATACTACCTATTATAAAGTCAATAGCATCGAATACGTACATACATTAAACATTGTGAAATACCAAAATGACTAAAACTGGAACATGTATGTGACAGCTAACATATTTTATTAATTAAAAAAAAAAAACAAATCACAAACAAATCAGATTCCAATAGACACTACTGTTGTATAGGCTTCTGTAACACTCAATTGTGTACAGGTTTTATTAAGTGCAAATTATATATTATATATACATTATACATTATATATTATACATATAATTTATATAGTGAAAATATATTTGCCTTCAGTTTTATATAATATGATATCCAAAGCGAAAACTAAACGTTTGTGAGAGTATAGTATTATAAGTTTAAGGGCTCTAAAACTCAACAACAAACTCGACGAATCGACTTGGGTGATGGATAGATAATATGAGCCATCTTAGACATTTATAAATACTTAAGCAGACACGTCGTTTGCCAGCGTTCGCTCGGTATAGTCGTCAAAACGACCCGAAAAATAGCTTTTATCGATAAATCGATTTCGTTGTGCAGTAACGACTTGACTTCAACAAATCAGTGTTATTTATGATACGCGGCTGAGTGCTTTCTAATTCCTGACAGCTCTGCAATGATTTTGAAATGTTCGGGTAACGTTGAAAGCTATTTTAACTAGAATAAACTGAATAATACACACACAATCTATAAGCAATAATATATTTATTTTTTTATTTGCGCTTAATATTTTATACACGTTGTTGGACGAAGCCTGGAAAATTAATGTGGGTTTAAACATAACGGCACCGAGGGATGTGTGTGTTTTGAGTGCACAAACGGTGACGGATAGAAAAGAAACGTGGGCGAGTGAAATTGGCCAACCAATCTTATTTAGGCCGGCATTTATAAGAATAAGACAAAATAAATACAACAATATTATATACACGTTTTTAATTTAAACTGATTTTGAAATTGTCTAAAAATAAATTCATAAATTGGGTTTTGGGGCAAAATAGAAAAGTAAAACGGTTAAGACGTGTCAGTCTGTCTGTTGCATTCATTCCCCGCATACGCACATGTATCGATATTGCCTACCTAATGCGCCGCCATCGTAAACGACTGGTATAATATGAGTATAATTTTATATAGACACAAAGTAGGTATATAATACATTAATGTATAATGTAAAGAAATTAATATTTAAAACCTTAACCATTTAAAATAATACAATCTTTGCGAACACATATTTCGGTAACAATGTTGTCATATTTAACGCTAAAGGCAGACTAACTGAGGTGAGTGTAAGATTTTTGTCTATTTTTTTTTTTTTAATTTTACAAGTGCGGAAATGAAACATGTCCATATGGTTTTTTTGTGATAATTACTGAAAAATGGAAAACAAGGGACCGACGTGTCATACTACCGACCAGTGTCACTACTATAATCATCACATACAAACTTTTGGAGAGATTTTTGGGCTTCTGGTTTGATGGCCGCGGCATCCAGCTCCTGAACTTCTCCCGCGTTGACCTTTGGGATTTGGCCAGCGTTCCAATTGGCTGTACTTGCAGACAGGAAGATGTCATTGTGTTTATGATATCGACGTTCGAATAATAATAATACCGTTGTTATTAGGTACATGAAACTATAAAACTATTAAACTATACAACCTTTGGCCGGTAACCATGTTAATTGTTAATATACATATTATCGAAATATAATACACTACTTGAATAACTCAAACATAAATAGGATCAAAATTGATTTAGTTTTTGGTTTTCGAAAAACATGTAGTTATGGCTTAAATTCGGGTAATTAAATACCAAAGTAATATTTTTTAATTATTAAACTATGTAGATATTTTCGTATACGAATAATCTACTACAAAACAATAAGAACTGTACCTAGTGAAAATAGGGGGCAGGGTCGTTGCTTGGTATCTAGATTTGCATCTAGATGCGTGTGTGTGGGATGCTAATAGACACAGCATAATAATGAACATTTGTTAATACATATAGTTGTATTTATAAGTTGTTGTATGGAAAATTAAAACAATAGTTAATTAACTATTATAGAATAAATTGAGGTGGTGTTCGAAATAGACGTTGGGGTACAAAAGGGTAAATGGATATATTATTGCTTTTTTCTCACAAACATCCATTCCGTTGATGCGACTCCTATTGGAGGAGAAAAATAACAATTTAGAAATGATTACAGTCGGTAGTTTAACGTTTTTAAAGTCCTATGACAAATAATTTAGCAAAATATTAATGATTTTGCTGGTAGTAATTCCTCGATAAGATTATTATTGCGGCGGAACCCAATAATATATTTTACCTTAATCTTCTCAGTAGGCCCGGGACAATCGTTTCATTATGCCAGATAATATAGTAAATTTATTTTCAAAGGGATGGTTAATAAAATAGGGTTTGTCGAGATTATTTCAAATCGATTATACCAATGAATCAGGTTGTTGACTTTGGCAAACGCCCACGCGAAGGGATAGTAATTTTTATTTTAT